GACTGGATATGATCCGATTCTTTTTAGAATCGAAATTTTCGGGTATTTAGTAAATGGAACCATCGAGTCTAAATTTAATTATGAAACTGTTCAAGTTCGGTTCCATTCGATTCAATTCTGTTCTATTCGGTTTCAGGGTTCTGTACAATAATTAATTAATTTTTATATTACAACAATGTTTTATTAATTCGACTATGACATATTCAATTTTAACTCTTACAAAATAATGTAATCCAATTTCATGATATCTTTTGCATCTCTCTTTGTTGAGTTCTTTATAGATTTGACTATTAAAATCATAGGAAACGAAGATAGTTGGTTCACAATAATAGAATGTTAGAAACGATACTACGATAGAATAAAAGATTTGGATAAAACTTAAGTCAATTTGATTAAGTTGGGTTTGGCTGGAAATTAGAAATAGTAAAATAATATTTTGGATTTTGACTAAATTAATTAGTTAGCAATTTATTTTAAAACATAAAATAATTTGACTTATTTAAGACAAAAAATTAGGAAAATTCAATTCTTATTCGATTTTTCGGTTCTGAGTCTAGAACCGATAATCGAACTAAACCCATCAGTTCTCGATTCAAATACTCGTTCGGGTATTTAATTTAAGAAAAATCGCTCGGTTCGGTTCAGTTCGGTTCAATTCGATTCGGTTCGAGAGTTTTGTCCAACCTTAAATGAGAGTTTAATTTCCATATCTTAGGGTTTTTTGAAAAGTTAAAAGTTATTTTTGATTCTAATAAATTATTTTTTGAACATATTTTGGGAAGTTTCTAAGAGTATTTTGTCTGTTTATTTATTATTTTTTTTTTTTAGAGAATTCATAAAATTATTCTACAAGAAATATAAGAAAAAAAGGAAACCTGCCAAGTCCTCAATTACATTGCATTACTTACTCATTATAGTTTAATATATTAAAATTTACATAATGATGATTATGATATTTCGACAACAATGCAATCAATAACTCGTCCATTGAATGTGAAATGAAGCGAAAATATTTTTATTACCTTTCAAAAATACTTTAAAAAAGTATGGCATTTCATTATCAATACTAGTTGTTGGTTTGGTAGAGTTTGAAGTATGAGAAAGTGTCAAATTAATAGGCCATACATCTAAATCCAATAGGTGATGTGGACACTATACCAATAGATTAGTTTAACAAGGTATTGTCACTTGCAAAAGTTTACTTCCAAGATATATGCACAAAACATACAAAATAAGGGTCAACAAGTAACTACTTTGATTTATTATCCAACAAGAAGACATTAATTATTTTTCTCAATAATTTAAGATTAATGTAATTAAACTTTTTTGTTTTTTGTTACTATACTGAATTTAATGAAGATTTATGACAATTTCGATCTACCCTCATATTCTATCGAAATTGCATACTTTTATAAACAACTAGTTTTATGCCCATGCAATGCACGGCCTGTGTTATTTTTTAGGTAATGTTAACGTGTTTAATTACAATAATGTTATAATTTTTTGGAAGCTATTAATATTTTTTTTTTTTTTTGATAACCGTGGATGTTCAGGCCAGTTTACGCGCACCTCGACTAATTCCACGAGACCCTGAAGTTTACGGTTGGGTACTCACCTCAGTGAACCTGAGGGGACTCGAACTGGTGACCATTAAGAAGTAAACCCAAAACCTAACCAATTGAACAACCCTCAGGGTTGTATTAATTTTCTTGCAGTGAAAATTACAATTTTCTATGACAATAGCTATTCCTCAACCTTATTTCGATATTTCATAGTGGGTTCTTTTTAATCAAGAAATTCGTAATTGAAGGCAATGAAGTATGCTCTGACGCAACCACATTATAACACCATTGCCTATCACACAGGAGAATTGCATGTAGTTCTATGAAGCTTTATCTACAGAAGTTGAGAATTGAAGTGATTGAGATTTGGCCTTGTGCACCTAATTGAACTTGTGGATAATACGTGCAAAAGGAATGTTAACTGACTTTTTAACTCTTTTTGTGTCAATGAAATGAATATAGAAGGCAAAAATTTTCATTACTATTTACTTTGGAAAATGTGCGTTCTATGACCTTCACTTAATGAATCATTGAAGAAATCATGTGTTTCACTTATGGAATTAGTTTTTTCCCTATCTCATATCATTAATTCAAAATAAAAAATTATTTCACAATTCATAAATAAATACAACAAAACAAATAAAAACAGAAATTTGCGAATAATAATTCAATTGGAAGAAATCCAAATATATACAACTAAAATTTGCAATTTTTACCAGCTCAAATTGAATCAAATACTAATAGGTGATAATGTAAAATCTTGAATCTTTGAACTATCAAAAAATAATAATTAACATATAACAATTTGCTATTTCTCAAGATTGAACTTCATTAAATGGTACAATGAGTAAAAATTCATAATTGGAAATTTAGTTCAAAATGTGAACATTTAACATGTATGTAAGTGTAAAGGATAATTGATTTATATGTACTTTTGTGTTTGTGAGTATTGGAATTCCTTCAACTGTGTTGTTAAGTATGAATTCAATGTCAGCATTTTTCTTGTACAAATATGGTTATCCAGTAGTATCAAGATCAACGAGGAAGCAAAAAGTATTCATTGAAACAAATATCAACTGCAATATTTCGTTTGTATATAGTCATCATGTCTACAGAAACTAATTCTATTTGATATCCTAGAACGAAACATTCTATTTATTTGAATGTATATTTAAATTAAGTAGAGAGCGAAATATTTTAATAAGCAGTAAATAGTTTAAATACTCACCCATTATTTACAGAAGGCTGATATGGTATGATATCTACCTCCATTAATCTATATATATTTTTCCTTAATAGCGTCTATAAGCAGAACGTTCTGGTGATAACAATAATGCTTTTGTTAAATCAAGTACTGCGTTCGAATGTGTCTTGATTTGTTCTGGCGTGTGAATGTTGTCGCTACAGTCGTAGATCTGGAATTTCCATTCGGGGATATTTACAAGAAAGAGATACCAAGTATTGTCCGGGTATGAACATGGAATTAATAGGTATTTACATCTTTTCCACGGACGACCAGCAATTGGTAAATCTCAATTTACGTATTGTTGTAAAATGACCAAATTTCCTGAAGTTGTAATGGTATTTGTTCCCCAGATTTCCACTTACACCATCATTTGATTAGTACACTCGTTCTCATATCTGAAGTCTAGAATTGCAAATTCTTTTGAAACAGTTGTAGAATTGTAGTTGATGAGCCGCCGTAACAATTTTAAGTCCAGATCAAGATTCTAATAGAATAAGTAGATGAAAATTAAATATATTATGATGAATGAATTTTACTAACTGCAGTAGTGATATTTTGTGTTGTGTCCATTACAGTTTTTATCGTGTCTCTTCCATATATACATTGTTAGATCCATCGTCTCAATATGACCTGTATAACATAATGCCATTTAGTTTCAAATAAATAAAATTAAAATAATAATATTTAAGCTAATGAGATAGAATAAGAGTGGTTACCCTGATGAATTTTTTGTTACCCAATCTCTTAGTGTTGTCTATCTATCTATAGAATAGTCTTCCAAAGAATAATTTGTTGATGGTTGCGAAGACTGTATCTTTTTCCCTTTAGTTTTTTTTTTTTTGTAACAACTTCAAGCTATTGAGATGTTGAGGCGTGCTTCAGGACAGGGCTCCTATAGACAGAAACATCTTGCTAAAGGGAACCTATAACAGCCTCCATATTTTGAATCCCAGTCAGACATTTTGGTCAGCATGTTGTTATTTTGTTGGTCAATGTAAGATCGCATGTCTTGGTAATGTTCTTCCTGCCAATGTTGTTGTTGCTGGAAGAACTGTCTTTGATTTTCAAGGAGTGTTTGATATTGTATTTCTTGTCTTTTTGATTTCTCAGAAATGCGTGCGGTAAACAAAGAATTGACTGATAGTGGTCATGTTGCTATTTCTGTTGTTGTTCAAACAATTCTTTTTTATTCTTAAGATTTGTTTCTTAATGGCTTTCTTGTCTCCTGAATTCTTCAACAATATTTGTTTTTAAACCCGAGATTTTGTTCAAACAATTCTTTTTTATTCTAAAGAATTGTTTCGTAATGGCTACATGTCTTCTGGATTTTTCAACAATATTTGATTTTAAACCCGAGATGACATCTGACACTATGTGCTGCCTATATGTGTTAAACATTTGTTCCATTTCATCTCTGGTTACATATTTGGAGCTAACAGACAAATTTTGATGGAATAACAGGCAAATTTTGAAAATGTTATTGTTTCCTAAACTGAAACTGAAAATGAAATGTTTCTTGAGGCATGCAGTAGAAACTTTGGCTAGAGGAAAGCCCCTTTTTTGGCGTATTTTTTGTAAATGGCTACTATATCTTACCTTGTATACAGAAGTATCTACTATTTCTTTAAGTAAGCTTCATTAAGGAGGATAATGCATATTGAATCAATGTTTGAATGGGGGGTTAGTACAAAATCCATGTTTTGCAGCCAGGGCTCCACTTAAAAAAAAGAAAGATGTAAGGGTCTGGGCAGTATTAGAATTTTTGTAATTTTTTCTTGTTGGAGGGAAGTGTGAGCTTTCTTTAATCTTGGGGTAGACGCCTCATGATCTCCAATTGGAAGTTGGGTCAGAATGGAGATCTTGATTTGTTCTGTTGGTTTTTTGTTTAATGGTACATATAATTGTCAAATTCATGCAATTTTCAATCTAGCTTGGAAATTTTTTCCATCTAATATGAATTCAAAGTATAAACTTGTTCCACCCCATATGGAAATATTGGTCAAATCAGATTCAATTGTCAGTTGCCCCTTTCGGAAATAGAATTGATAGCAATTGATTAGCATCCATCAAATTTATTTTCGTAACAATTAACTACATGGTTCTATAGAATTTCATTTTGTTCTACTCTATGGTTTGTGACTTCTTCAAGCAACGTGCTTTAAAACAATTCCATTCTGGAAACATTAGGAAAAATGGCTGGACAAGTTGTCTCGGAACGACCAACATCATTATTTGAGTTCGAGCTTGTTGAAGGTGATTCTGGTGACAGTCAGGGGCGGATTCAAGGGTGGGCTGCACTGGGCTGTAGCCCAGTGCAGCCCAATCCCAGATGTTGAAGATTTTGTTCAAAATAGCCCAGAAATAATAAATATTAACCCAGTAGCCCATTAGCCCAAATAAAAACCCATTACCCAATTCATTCCCAATCCTTACAATTTTACACCGAATTCATTCCCAATTCATTCCCAAATCCCAACCCAACCCATCAACATTCCCAATCCGCCCCTGCTATTTTCCCAATCCGGCTTGACTCCGCTTGAGCGTAACCCACCAGCAGCCAGAGCAGAGTTCGTCCGGCGAAGTGGCGAACTGGAACAGGTCGAAGTCGTCTCCTTCAAGCCTTCAACCAGTTGGCAGTCAGCAGGTGAGCATTCGGTTTCGACTCAGTTCACTGCTTCAGCAGGTGAGCATTCGGTTTCGACTTTCAACCTAGTCCTAGAAGTTCTTCTGCGCTTCAAGTCTTCAACCTTCTTCAAGAATCAGCAGCCAGCAAGCAACCGAGCAGACGAGCAGTGAAGCAGGAGCAGCCTAGCAGCAGGTGAGCTGGTGAGGTCATTTTATGATTTTCATTTTATGATTTTCATTTATGATTTATGAATGATTTTCTTGGAGATAAATTGGGAATGAATATGATTTATGAATGATTTATAAATTGGGGATGAAAGTTAGTTATAAATTGATTATAAATTGGGGATAATTTGGGGATAATGTGATGTGATGATAGGTCAAGAATTGTGAATTGT